AGTGGATGCAGAGTGTGTGTCAGTGTAATGAATGCAGAGTGTGTGTCAGTGTAGTAAATGCAGTGTGTGTTAGTGTAATGAATGCAGAGTGTGTGTCAGTGTAGTGAATGCAGAGTGTGTATTAGTGTAGTGAATACAGAGTGTGTGTCAGTGTAGTGAATGCAGAGTGTGTGTCAGTGTAGTGAATGTAGAGTGTCAATGTAGTGAATGCAGAGTGTGTGTCAGTGTAATGAATGCAGAGTGTGTGTCAGTGTAATGAATGCAGAGTGTGTGTTAGTGTAGTGAATGCAGAGTGTGTTAGTGTAATGAATGCAGAGTGTGTTAGTGTAATGAATGCAGAGTGTGTGTGTGTTTACTAGTGTATGCATGTAATGTTATAATGTAAATGTAATAAATGTTTCTCCCACCTCCCTGCTTCTTACCTGGTTCAGGGTGGGGGGAGATTCCATCTCTGGTGGTCCGGTGGCATTGTGGGGCCCCCCGGCTCCCTATACTTGAATGGGGGCCCAGCAGACTGCAGGAGCACATTACAGCATTTCCCTAGCTCTAACTCCCGCGAGCGTGGTCTGCGTGCCGCGCGGAGCGTTGCCATGGTAACCCGTGGCAATGCTCTGACGGCCGTAGGTCTTGTGGGAGTTAGAGAGAGGGAAGAGCTGTAATGTGCTCCTGCAGTCTGCTGGGCCCCCTCTGCAAGTATAGGGAGCCGGGGGCCCGTGGCTGCACATATATATAGCGATCATCGCTATATATGTGCAGAGAGGGAATGTGGGGCCCAGGACTGCCAAAGCAGTCAGGGCCCCCCAGGACCGCCGGGCCCATGACAACCCCCTGATGGCGGCCCTGAGTGCAAACATACATTACGAAACCCAAAACACATATGCACGCGAGCTAGATTGCTAAACATTCAAATTACAGATAAACAGCTTCCTATATAAAATGCAGAATCCAGCTATATATTAAGCTAGGACTGAACAAGGACTGACAGTGATAGTGAATCCTCCGTAACTCCAGTAGTTAGCTGCAGAACACTGCAGAATGATCAATTTGTGTTATGTGAGATCACGAAGAAACTCCTGCATAGATAGACTGCTGAATGCGGGAGCTGTATTAAGGAGCTTTCATTAACACGAGAGAAACATCTTCATTTGTTATGGTTATCTATCGAGTCTACGTATATGAGAAAATCTAGAACAATGCAAACAGGCAATGGGCAAAGGGTTAAATGCTTAAAGACTGATAAACAGATAAGTAGATGGACATATAGATAGACAGGCACACTAATGACCACCAGGGGCCCAGAGATGTGACAAGCAGACAGAAACTGAAAGACAGTGTGATGATTAATGAAATACATACCACTTGGTAACTATTTTTTTTTTTTTTTATTAAACTTTAATTTTGCTGCACCCCACTTACTTGATACTAAACCGTCTAGGCCTGGGAGACTCCAGTTTTCCTTTTCTTTAATTTATCTTGATTTGAATTACCTTTTGCCTTCACAGAATTTTAATATTTCATGTATATATTTTGCTGACAAAACACAGACAAGCAAAACTCTCAGATGACCAAATTTATATGGAATTTAAGGACAATTCGGTGTTTCGTCTCTTAGTAATCACACCTAAATAATTCACACGTACAAGTGTGCTACTAATTTACATAAAACCAATTATGAGTTGTCACCAAGTGATATGCAAAACATTTTACAAATGAAGAAATTTAACTAAGAAAGATACAGATTACCAAAACTTCAATAATCTCAAGATCACTAACACACTTCAGTTAACATGAAAACTAATTGATAATTTATTGTTGTCCCATCGGCAGTCAGCATGATGGGTACAGATTTTAAAAATTGCTGCACAACCCATCCAACCTAGCAATCATTTTTATTACATGATGAAATATTGTCAGCCACTTATCACATGTTTCTGGGTGATGCACAGCTCTCAGAGCTTAAACGATGGACAACAATGTTGCATTGTAAATGTCTAATGTTAAGTATAATCACGAATATACAACACAGACCTGCTGATATGATTAATAGTGTGCAAAATACATATTAATGGTGACAAAATTCAGGCTCGCCTGACACTCGCAGGCGGTCACATGTGATCTAAAATCAGTTCTGTAAATAAAACTGCACACTAAGGAGCTTGATGTACGAATATATAACCATCATCAGTTAACTCATACCTCTCAACAGTCCTTAAGCTGGCAAAACACTTATTTTGGTGCACCCATGTTGTGTTGCTGGCAGATGTGCCATCTCACATTATGAATTCATACCTCACGATGTTGGCAGTAACAGGTAAACTGTTATGTACACACATCTAAAAATTGCAGACTGGGTAGAGAAAGAAAATATTTGAAGGAAAAGGGAGGTGAAGATAGAGTGGCATGGGCCCAAACATAGAGGGGGAGCAGATATAAAGATTGAAATCATATAGAGAGGCGCTTGATGGAAAGTTTTATAAGGAAAGGGTGAACGAAAAAGGGGTCAGGGCACTTCGCAGGTAAGTAACTTGCCTTCTGCAGATAATTTGACAATCAAAGATATTTGCTACATTGTCTTATGCAGCTAATGTTGTAGGCAACATGTAAGGATAAAAAATAAATCTCTTTCAGAAGCAACATTAAAAGTTCTCCAAGTCATAATAATAACAACCTCAACCCACATTACAGACAGAGTGTAGATGCTAAAACCTATAAATTATTGTACAATTAAAGATATAGATTATATAGACTATTTAAAGATATATATATATATATATATATATATATCACCATGTTCACGATATATATTATTTATGTGCAGGGCAATACACATCCTACAACGCCATTTGTCCAAAATGTCAACATGGTTTTATTGACATTCACAAAACACAGATGATTGCGGATCCCTTAAGGGGGCACTGTAGGCACCCAGTCCACTTCAGCTGCAATATTTACTTTGCAGCTCTAAGTCTGCCCTCAGTGGCTGTCTGCCAGATAGCCACTGGGGGCGCTTCCGGAAGCGAAACAGACCTTTGTTTTTTTGCTGGAAGTTCTCACACACTGCATGATTTCCTATGGGGAAACCCTAATGCGAGCGCGCCCATTGCCGCGCATGTGCTTCATGTCTCCCTCGCCGGGCTGATGTCAGCGGGGAGGAGCCCACGTAAGTGGCTGAAGGGATGTTAACCCCTTCAGCCAAGCTGGAGGGGGCTGGCTTCTTATAAACCTATAGTGCCAGGATAACAGCTTTGTTTTCCTGGCACTATAGTATCCCTTTAAAGTGAACTTGCCGAGCAAACTTTCACTTACCTGAAATGGCTTCCATATACATTAAATACACCATATGTAAAACAGATACATTGTGTATTCAATGTAAAATATAGAGATTTACTCACTTTTCCTCCATTTCAGCACTGCCATCTTCAAGTTTCATGGGTGTTACTTTTCATGTAACACCCATCTCCGGGCCATCATCCGTGCCGTCTGTGCTCTTCCCGCAGACTTCTTTGAATTGCTCCTCAAGCAGGGCAAATCTCGTCAGTGATGTTGGCATGCTGGCATGGACGGCAATTGTTATGGGAGGAGAGCAAAGGGACCTCTTGTTGGAGGTCTTTTCAGCTCTCCCTGGACAGTCAATGCCTCGACATAAACTGACACCTGGGAGAAAAACAACTATATTTAAATAGGTTTTTCTCCCAATCTATACATTTTCTAGCAAAAATACCTAGCGCACTGTATAGCTAGAATCTCATGCTTAATCTAATGAGCATACGTTGTTGGGGGCATGACAGGGGCGCTTTAAAGTCAATTATAAACGGCCATCTTCGCCCATTGTAAATAAACCTTTGTTTTTGTATGCCCACTTTTTTATATTAGTTGCCATATAGAGGAATCTCTAGTTAGTATTTATATCATGCAACATAATATCTAGGCTTCCAATTCATATGCCATTAGTGCGCGAAGCAAGCACAGTACCAAACTGTGCAGAAATCCACCCCAAAAATACTGTGCAGGATAAAAAAAACTAACTGTGACCAATACAGAGCCCTATACCCTCGCCCTGCGCACCTTTTCTGATAGGCCACTAAGCATATTAGATGCAAATCAATATCTTATGGTTACCATACAAAGCAAGTTATTGTCTAACCCCTTGAAAAAAATCACAGTGTAAGCAAAGCTTGCAGTTCAATTAGAGCCATTTCTACCTTGCTATTATACCATGCAGAGCAACCACTTCCATTGCTGTCAGTGATGACGAAAATGCTCAGCCAGGACCAGGCTGGGTTCTGTCTGGCAAAGAAGTACTTCAATACCAGGGTTTGCTGTGATTCTACCTTTTATGTAGCGTTTCCCTTCAATTCTTAACCTTCTTCCCTATCTTCTCTTACCCAGTCTCCTGGCTGATCACATCGCTCTCAGCATCTCTCCGTCTCTCCCATGAATACGCTCTGCCCCTTCCAGTGTGTCACACATCTACCCTCCCGCAGACCTCTCGGAGCAGACTGCTGTTTGTGCACTAGTGAGATTATTCACTAGAGTGTGAATTGTCAGGAGTTCAAAGTGAATTTAAAATTGGAGACCAAAACATCCAAACTGAAAGCACAGCTCTGGATTATTTACTAGAGTGAGAATTCAAAGTGAATTTCAAATTGAAGGTCAAAATAGCAGAAGTAGAAAAAAAATCTATAAGTCAGCTATGCTTTCAATATGGCTACTTTGGACTTATATATGAAAATCACTTTGAATTCCCGCTTTAGCCACTCCCACTCAAACTCTGTGCGGACTTTGAGAAATTTTCCAATTTGGATATTGTGGCTTAAAAGTCTCTGAAATTTTCTTTTCACCACAAAATGGTTCACAAGACTGCCAAAGGTTCCTTGAACAGTTGGCTGAGCATCATGGGAAACAGAATGCAGAACAGGAGATGCACCAAGTAGACTAATGGCTGGCTGAGCACCATGGGAGTAGCGTACCTTCCAACAGCTTTTGATTTGGCAGGAAGTCCCCAATTAGGAACACAAATTCAATTGTCACTTTATATCTTCACTGATGATGAAAACTAGTGACAAATTGTAAAATGCGTTACCTTCGCAGCTGGTAAGCATCAGATCTTAACTCCCCACTGCATTTCACACAGCAAACTGGAAATGTTACGCAAATATAGTCAGTGACAAGTAGAGGAACAGCGGTAAGCTGACTGTCATGGGAAATGTAGTCCAAATGATTGGGGTTATGGGACATATATTCCAAATGATAGAGATCATGTAGTCCAAATGATGGGATGGGGGTCATGGGACCCGTGGTCCAAAAGATGGGTTGCGGGCAGTGGTGTAGGCAGGACAAAACTCAGGTGCCCCCCCGCATCATCCCCACCCAACCCTTCCCCCTGCCCCGCCTTCTAAATACACACACACACATTCACTGACAGATACGCATACACTAGCTAACATAAACACACTCGCTAACAGACACACACTCACTAACAGACACACATACAGACACACACTAACAGACACACACTAACAGACACACACACACACACACTAACAGACACACCCACTAATAGACACACACACACTCACTCACATTAACACACTCGCCTTTTCTTTTCTTTTTTTGATTTAACCCGTCCAGCCTCCTTACCTTTGGAAATGCTGGAAAGGGGTTCTCCCTCTCCCTGGGGTCTAGTGGGGCTGCTGGGCTCCTGGTCGGGCGGCGCTGGCGAGGGGCACTTTCCCCTGAGCGCTCTGCTCAGCTCCCTCGTGCACCACAGAGTGATGCCGGGAGCCGGAATATGACATCACTCTGCGGGAGCTGAGCAGAGCACTCAGGGGAAAGTGCTCCCTCGCCAGTGCCGCCCGCCCGGCTTGTCAGTTAGCCACAAGGCTAACAAGACATTTGCCCTGGGCATTTGGGGGCAGCTTTTTTTGCGACCCCTGGAAAATGCCACCCAAGGCAAATGCCTTGTTTGCCTTGCTACTAAAACGTCCCTGGTTGCAGGTCATGGGACATGTAGTCCAAATGATGGGTTGGGGGGGTCATAGGATATGTAGTCCAAATGATGGGTTGGGAGTCATGGGATATGTAGTCCAAATGATGGGTTGGGAGTCATGGGATATGTAGTCCAAATGATGGATTGGGAGTCATGGGATATGTAGTCCAAATGATGGGTTGGGAGTCATGGGATATGTAGTCCAAATGATGGGTTGGGGGTCATGGGATATGTAGTCCAAATGATGGGTTGGGGGTCATAGGATATGTAGACCACAAAAGTTAGCCAAATAACAAGATGAATGTCATCACAGAATATGTTATGTGCCACAAATTAGGCAAATGGCTGGCTAACTGTTATGGGAAATGTCCACATGTGTAGTCCCACAAATTAACCCCATGGCTGGCTGTCTGAGGAGTTGTAGTGCACAATATGTGTAGCACCAGAAAGATAGCCAAGTGATTGGCAGAGTGTCATGGGAAATGTAGTCCACAGCACACAGGGTGCCAGAAGTGACCCAGATACCTGGCTGCGCGTCCTGGGAGTTGAGAGCTCAGCTCAGGGCAGCCTGTCACTCCTCACCTCTCTCAGAGTGTCCCCCGGTAAGGATGGCAGGTCTCTCGCTCTCACCATGTCCCCTGGTGCAGTGTGAGTGCAGTGTGAGTGCAGTGTGAGTGCAGTGTGAGTGCAGTGTGAGTGGCTGACACCCGGCTCCCTCCAGCTCACACTCCCCTCCACTCACAGCATCTGTCACCCCGTCCCTTATATAGCCGCAGAGTACCCGCATCCCGCGCCTGGCCACGCCCCCTCTCTACAGGAGCACGTTCGGACAGCCAATCGCGTGCGGGTGCTGGCCCAAGGAGGCGGGAAACAGGGGGGGTTGCAGAAAAGGCGGGAACGGGGCGTGGCGCGCGGCAGTGTGGCAGTTTGAGGAGAGGGTGGTGGGGAGCTCAGGTCAGCTGTCCTGTTGGGACAGTTACTATTTAGTCATTAAAATGTGGCAAACAACTCACTGAGCTACCTACTGAGCAGGGAGGGTGATAGCAGGGATCCCCAAATGATGGCTTTTTTAACAATATCCTCCCATGTCACTTCACACCACTCAAAAGGGTGAAAACAGCCCTTAACACGTCCATAGACTGCATTGTGACAGCATTCCTGCCATGTAAATCCTGTAAATCATCATTTATAACACACACACACACACACACACACCCTCATACTAACTTTACATCCTTCTCCTGTCAGGTAACATCCAGCACAGCATTCACTTTACAAATCTGACATGGACAGTCACTAATGTGTTAATTGTCAAGAAAATTCAAAGAAAATATAACATTTTAGTGAAAAATAGCCAAACTAAGTCCCCAGCTATATTTTCACAATTGTCTATTTTGTCTTGAAATTTCAAATAAAATATATCGAATAACCCAATAAGCCAAGCATTTTCTCACTAAATAACGTGGAATTTTCCGCTTTAGAGAGGTTTTTAACTTCTTAAGGACCAAATGTTAAATATTTTGTGTTGTAACAATTTGTTCCCTAAAGATAGGGATGCCATATCCGCCATGTTTTACAGGACACATCATTTATATCAGGGGTGCCCAAAAGGTAGAACGACAGATGCAGAACTACAACTCCCATGATGCTTTGCATGCCGTTAGAATGTTTTAGAACGACAAAGCATCATAGGAGTTGTAGTTCTACAACATCTAGAGATCTACCTTTTGTGCACCCCTGATTTAGTGACTATTCATGTAAAAAAAATTTGGCTAAAGCAAAGTTCGTATTAAAGTTCCTAACCAAATAAAAGTTAAATCTGTGTTTTGTGTACACTGTGCAACTAGCAAAATATTGAATGTTCCAAAGCGTTTGGTGCTTTGAATCTTACATGCTCTAGAATTTAGACATTTAGGATCAAAATGTTCCTCGCACATATTTACCCACAATTGCAAGAACTGGTTAACTCTTATTTGATGCATGCAATGTGTGTAGTGTTCACATTTAAAGTTTCTGTTTATGTTCTGTTACCAAATCCTTGGTGTCGGTTTTATGTTTTCCAAATGCTGGGAGTCAAAATGTTCTTTAAATTTTGTGAGCTTCTAATAATCACCCCTAGATTATATGTGGGTATGTAAGACTCTAGATTTAGATCCAGTAATTGGTGTGTTTTTTTTCACAATAATGCAATATCTTATCATTTTGCATTGGTGAATAATGCCAGCTATTGGTTTTAAAAAAATTTTTTTTTAGGTGTTAAAAAGAATTTAGACAAAAACAAAGAGTGGAATAGCGCTAAGTCAAAGGAAGGGGAGGCAGCACACCTAAATGGGTAAGTCTCTCCTAAAAACCCAATAAGGATAAGCAACAATACAAGACAGTACGGTGTGCCATGGGGTTAGGGGTGAATTAATACTCAATAATACAACTGAAGTAAAACAGATGATACGTGCTCAATAAAATTGATTACCACTTGAAAAAGCTCATTGTGGGTGAAACGCGCTATGGACTTATTTTATCATTATTATTGTCTTAATAAAGGTTTTGGTATCTTTTACTACCAATATTAGTACCATATACCTTTTATTTTATTTTATTACCTGGCATCAAGTTTTTATCTTCCCAGTGAGTACCTCACAAAGTATCCCTGGTGGGGATTATACCACCTACGCTGATTACACTGAGCGGGTTATCTGCTCAGGTAAATGTGAGTATTATTCATTTATTTCTTCTCCTGGATATATATATATTATACAGAGAGCACTATCCGTTGTACCTTTGTTTGTATTTTTTACATATCCTGTTGACAAGATACGCACTGGTTTATATCTTCCACCATATCCCTGAAGTGGGGGAATAATACAGCTGCAAGCGCTTCACACTAGAGCTGGTTTTAAGCTCTATCACATGTGAGTAGGCAAATTTGGATTTCATTTTACCTAAGCTTTTAATATATTTTAAACATATTGCACCATTGGAATTATTTTATTCTCTTTTATGTCCCTGGACCTCAACTATCTGGAAGACATACTCACCTGGAGATAAAGGCAAACCCTTATAGACTCACCTATACCATTATACTTTATTTTGGACATTTTTTTGGCTTGTTCGCTTTTATGCATGTATGATTTTAGATCATTTTATTGAGCACGTATTATCTGTTTTCAGTTATATTATTGAGTATCAATTCACCCCTAACCCCCTGGCGCACCCTATTGTCTTGTATTGTAAAAAAAGAATTGATTGGAAAAAAAAAAGCAAAACAATTTATAAAAAATAAAAAAAGATACTGACCTTTAACTCTCATGTACCTGTAGCAATGAGCTGTAGCTTGACTGTAATGAGACTTAACCAATCAAAAGCCACTCATTCTGATCTAAAAAGTCTGGTCATATTTTTTCTTACAAGGAAGTTCAGTATAAAAAATGTGTTTAAAGGCTGAATTTGCTGAACTTGAGTCTTTTTTAAACTGAATTTATTACCATGTAACTATGTTGTCAAAAATATATAATTCAGGCCTTATCAGCAATTCCATTCATTACATAGAATAAGTAAAACTGCTGCTATCAAGTTATTGATAGTTCTATTACATACCTCCTAACATTGGGGTGCATGGGATCGGGAAGTGTGGGCGGGTGAAACCAGTGATATGACTCATGTCACTGGCTATGCTCATAATATGTCGCTGGCTATGCCCATAATGATGGGAAAAGTGGCAGGCCTGCCCACTAAAGGGTGCTGTTTGGCCAGCCCCCAACCTACAGGGCCTTGAAGAGTGTGCTGTCCATGGACAATTCTGGTGTGTCCTATGTGGAACACCAGGAAACAAAATCAGGATGGCGGGACAGGACCCAGAAATTGGGACTGTCCCGCTTAAATTGGGATTGTTGGTTGGGGGGCTGTTATGCACACTCCAAGGCTCATGCTTTAGATCAGTGTCTGCTGTCTCTGTACAAATATTTGTACAGTCAGGGGAGCGACAGTTTCCGCCCCTGAGATATGGAAGAAAGGGGCAGGCTTACATCTGTAGCAGCTATGGCAAATCACTGTATATATAAGCAACTGCGTGCAGGGAGATAGAGACATAATCTATGCAATGAGCATACATTGGTACTGATGTCCCTTTAAATAAATTCTTTCTATTAATTTCTAAAGCTCCATCTAATCTTATTGGATTATTACATTTTCTTCACGTCTGTCTCTTAAAATATTTCTCTGTGTGACGTTTTTGGATT